GCTAGATATGGGTTTCGTAACAAGGTAAATGTTATGTATTTTGAGAATGCTCCTCTCATTCTGCAAACACAATACAATTCTCAATTTGAAGGCAAACAGATTTAGATTTTCAGATTTTCTGCATGCATGGACACACACACACACACACACACACACACACACACACACACACACACACATACACACACACACACACACACACACACACACACACTGTTACTGCCCAGAGTCTTGGAAAACTACCAAATTGTGAAGAGCGAAAGAAAGGAAGTGAGAAAGAGAGTGAGAGAGAGAAGAGGAGGAGAGAGGTTTTAGTTACGAGCTGTGATCTAATCACAAGGGAGAAATACACTTATCCATCTCCTCTCTCCTTTTTCCTATCTTCTCCCTCATTCCCTCCCACTTTCTTCCTCCCCATCTCTCCTTTCTCTTCCCCTCCTACTTTCTTCTTTGTATTGTGTTCCACCTATGTGCTGATGTCTGAGGACTGTGTGTACATACAGTGCATTCGGAAAGTATTCAGACCCATTGACTTTTTCCACATTTTGATACGTTACAGCCTTATTCTAAAAAGGATTACATTGTTTGTTTTTTCCTTCATCAATCTACACACAATACCCCACAATGACTAAGCAAAAACAGGTTTTTATTTTTGTTTGCAAATTTATTAAAAATAAAAACTGGTATCACATTTACATAAGTATTCAGACCCTTTACTCAGTACTTTGTTGAAGCACCTTTGGCAGCGATTACAACCTCGGTCTTCTTGGGTATGATGCTACAAGCTTGGCACACCTGTATTTGGGGAGTTTCTCCCATTATTCTCTGCAGATCCTCTCAAGCTCTGTCAGGTTGGATGGGGAGCGTCTCTGCACAGCTATTTTCAGGTCTCTCCAGAGATGTTCGATCGGGTTCAAGTCCGGGCTCTGGCTGGGCCACTCAAGGACATTCAGAGACTTGTCCCGAAGCCACTCCTGCGTTGTCTTGGCTGTGTGCTTAGGGTTGTAGTCCTGTTAGAAGGTGAACCTTCGCCCCAGTCTGAGGTCCTGAGCGCTCTGGAGCAAGTTTTCATCAAGGATCTCTCTGTACTTTGCTCCTTTCATCTTTCCCTCGATCCTGACTAGTCTCCCAGTCCCTGCCGCTGAAAAACATCCCCACAGCATGATGCTGCCACCACCATGCTTCACCGTAGGGATGGTGCCAGGTTTCCTCCAGACGTGACGCTTGGCATTCAGGCCAAAGTGTTCAATCTTGGTTTAATCAGACCAGAGAATCTTGTTTCTCATGGTCTGAGAGTCCTTTAGGTGCCTTATGGCAAACTCCAAGCGGGCTGTCATGTGCCTTTTACTGAGGACTGTCTTACGTCTGACCACTCTACCATAAAGTCCTGAATGGTGGAGTGCTGCAGAGATGGTTGTCCTTCTGGAAGGTTCTCCCATCTCCACAGAGGAACTCTGGAGCTCTGTCAGAGTGACCATCGGCTTCTTGGTCACCTCCCTGACCAAGGCCCTTCTCCACTGATTAATCAGTTTGGCCGGTAGGCCAGCTCTAGGAAGAGTCTTGGTGGTTCCAAACGTCTTCCATTTAAGAATGATGGAGGCCACTGTGTTCTTGGGGACCTTCAATGCTGCAGCCATTTTTTGGTACCCTTCCCCAGATCTGTGCCTCGACACAATCCTGTCTCCGAGCTCTACGGACAATTCCTTCGACCTCATGGCTTGGTTTTTGCTCTGACATGCAGTGTCAACTGTGGGACCTTATATAGACAGGTGTGTGCCTTTCCAAATCATGTCCAATCAATTGAATTTACCACAGGTGGACTCCAATGAAGTTGTAGAAACATCTCAAGGATGATCAATGGAAACAGGATGCACCTGAGCTCAATTTCGAGTCCCATTACAAAGGGTCTGAATACTTATGTAAATAAGGTATTTCTGTTTTTATTTTTAACACATTTGCTATAATCTCTAAAAAACAGTTTTTGCTTAGGTCACTATGGCGTATTGGGTGTAGATTGATGAGGAAAAAAATGTAATCCATTTTAGAATAAGGCTGTAACATAACAAAATGTGGAAATGTGTTGACTGTATATATTATAAACTGTAATACAGTAACTAACCAACAATAACTACAGTGTAGTAACTATGAACCCTTCATGTCCCTGTCCTGATTTCCGTGTTCAATCAGCAACACATCTCCTCCGTCAATGTTTACATGCACACAGTTGCTTCAGCAGTGCCTTCACTCCTCTTTTCCCAGAAACTCATCACTCCTTTCTTTTTCCATCTCTCTGGTCAGCAGTGTGTGTGCATGAGTTTGAGAGAGAGAGAGAGGGAGAGAGTGTACGAGAGCGAGACAGAGTGTGTGAGAGAGAGTGTGTTAGAGAGAGACAGAGAGATTGAAAGAGGCTGCTGTTTCTTCCTGTAGTGGTGTGTGTTTGTGATGATGGTCACAGTGTAACATAGACCTTGGGAGACGGGGTTGATAAACTGTTCACTTATCCACCAATCCCCTGGATACTTTCCCTAACCCCTACCCTTTGTCCCCTTCCCCTAACTGCAGATGATCTTGTGGATATCTAAATTAAAATAGGTAAATCAAAATCAATATAGAAATACAGTAACTCTTACTGTAATACAGTAACCCTGCTCTCTGATAGGCTGGATTAAATCACGTATACCTTTCCAATCACTTAGTCCCCTGTAGCTCAGTTGGTAGAGCACGGCGCTTGCCATGCCAGGATTGTGGGTTCGTTTCCCACGGGGGGCCAGCATGAAAATGTATGCACTCACTAACTGTAAGTCGCTCTGGATAAGAGCGTCTGCTAAATGACGTAAATGTATAAGCCGCTAGGGAGTAGGGTGTAATGTGTTGAGGCTAGCAGTTAGGGGCTGAAAGAGGACCTGGCTGGGACCAGTGAGTGTGTTTAGTCTGTGTGTCTGAGGGGAACAATGTGGACATAACGTTCTCTCTAACACTAAAAAGGGTTCCTAAATGGTTCTTCGGTAGTCCACATAGGAGAACCCATTTTGGTTTCAGGTAGAACCCTTTTTGGTTCCAGGTAGAACTCTTTTGGGTTCCATGTAGAACCCTCTGTGGAAAGGGTTTTTACATGGAACCCAAAAGGGTTCTACCTGGAACCAAAAGGGTGGGGATAAAGAAATAGTGTTGTGCAGGAAATTTGTAAAATAACTTCACTTGTGTAATATTTTTTAATAGAAGAGAATAGAATATAATAAAAGTCAAGGTAACTTCACTTGGGTAATATTTTATTGACTCGTTAGATCTTCAAAACTATTTTTCATAATAAAGTTCCACTTTATGTTCTTCAAAGAACTGTAACAATAAAAATAAAAGTAAAATACTGTAGAAAAATTGTATATATATATATATATATATATATATATATATATATATATATATATATATATATATATATAAAATTAAAAGGCTAAATGAACACTTAGATGAAGAATACCACAGTTCAATGCTCCTCCTTTACTTCAGATAGAAACAGAGGAGAAAGGGAGAAAGAGAGAGAGGAAGAGAGGCGTCGACTAGAGGGAGAGAGGAACAGAGAGAAATCGGGATAAAGGGATAGATAAAGAGTAGGAGCGAAGGAATCAATTAGTTACATTTTTCTGGCTAATTTTTAGGTTTTATCACTATGTCTTTAATGCTTTATGTCCCGCCCCCAGTCTGATTCCCATGCATGTGATTGGTTGGCAATATTGATTGGAAGACCTGGGGGAGCGTGCTTGCTGACAGGAGATAGAAATACAATGGCCAGATTAGACACTATGGAGACTACTGCCTGTTCTGGACAGTGAATTTCTATCTGTTCTGTTCTTACAGTTGGTATGTGTCTCAAATTACACCCTATTTCCTGTTCACTACTTTTGATCCACGTAGGTTTAGGGTTAGCAACATAGGACTCTGGTTTAAAGTAGTGCACTATTAGAGGAAAAGAGTGCCATTTGAGACCTACACAGTCTTACATGCACTGAATGACATCATAGTCACACCCTCAACCTTCTCCACAGAGCCCGCCCCCCACCCCCCCCACCACTCCTGCCTGGCTGGGATTGATCACCTGGACAATTAGCGGGACAATCAACCAATGTGAACACACAGGATGCTCGGAGAGGGAGGGCCAATGAAAGTAAAGCAACTCAAATTATATTAGCCAATGGCATCATGAACAGCTCTATCATTATAGAAACACATGATAACACTTAATATTCTGTTTTCGATTATTTTACAGACATTTTTTTTTTAAATATAAAATGTTCATCAGAGCACGTATAGTCGTCTATAGGACAGGCTTTAAAACAGGGCTGGCCCTGTTGCAGGGGACATACCCAGCCTTTACACCAGGGTTACTCACTAAACCGCAACCCAAATCAAACACACCACCCTGGCTCTCAGAGACCATGGAGCCTGGTCACACTCTGTTAGTCAGTTGTATCTGCTGTGTGTTGGAGGCGATGGAAAGTTGTGTACAGCATTTGTCCTGTCTTCTTATTGATGATTGCTATATGATGTTAGTTCTGAAGTTATCTTATCCTGTTATGTGTTGTCTGTCTGTCACTATTAAGCCCAGTAATAATTGTCCCTCGGGTGTAAATTAAGTTTATTACATTGAAGTGAATGTATATAAGCCAGGTAGTAGTTTATTATCATGTGGTAGGCTTTGGTGAGCCAGGTGGTTGGTTATGGTTGTGGTGGGTTTAGGAGTAACCCATGTAGTCTCTGCTCTGTTAGAAACACATGGAGTAAGATAATTCAACGTGCAACAATTTCCCCAAAGAGTCTAAACTGCCCACATGTTCATCATCATTCTTCTTTTTCTTCTTCATCGACTTCAGCATTATCATAATAATATCATCATTATCGCAGATATCATTGCCACCGGTCAGTGATGAAGCTCTGGTAATGAAGCTCTGGTAATGAAGCTCTGGTGGTGTTGTAAGAGGTGTGTGTGTATGTGTGTGTGTGTGTTATGTGTAGGTAGGTAGGTAGTTCTGGTGTCTGGTCTCCTCTCCAGAGTCAAAGTCTCTCTTGTTTTCATAGTCTTGATGGGTTGATACAACGTTGTAACGTACGTTGTATAAAGTTGTAAAATAAATGTCCCAGCAACACTTCAAACACACACAGCTCCTTTTTCCACGTACACCCCCTACTCCGTCCCTCCCCAGCAAGTCGGCAAACAGAGCCACCATGGCAACCCTGGTGGTTGTGACTCTTCCTGTCTTATTGCCGCGGTAACGTCCATTCTGCTGACTGGTGGGCTGGGGTTAGGGGCAGGGTTCAGGTAATCTGGTGTTCCCCCATTGGACAACACCAGCCTTACACCCAATTGTAACTGAGAGTTTATCAGGGTGTTAATCTGGATATACTGATTGTGACTCCGTATGAAAGAAGACTAGCGTTCTCTGTGTTCTTTCCCAGTCTACAGGACAGTTTATAGCAGGGAGAGACAGGGGACTGGTCCTTTAAAATAACTGCTCTTTACTGGTCCTTTACTTGTCATAAACTGGTCCTTTACTAGGAGTCTATCTGGTGGTTCCTCTGCTTGTTATACCGGTTAATCTGGTCGAACACAGGCCTCACACAGAGAGGCTGTGGTTAGTGGTTATTATTACTGTACAGTATGGGTCTCTGCCCTCATGACAGTCTCTTTGTCTCTGTGTGTTTTTCTTTTCTTTTCTGTGTGTGTATGTGTGTGTCTCAGAGCATGTCCTCCTGTATGTGTGCATATGTCTGTATAAGTGTAGATGTGTATATATAAATGTCATTAGGGTGTCCCCCCCCCTCCTCACACGTAGTACTCCTTATCTTTGTTCTTCTTATTCTTGGAGATCTTGGCGATGCCCAGCGGCTTGTCCTTGGTGCTGCCATTAGGCTGGGTGGCAGAGTTACTGATGTAGTTGCGGCTCTCGTCCACGTGGTACGAGCCCTCGTCGCGGTTACGGTACTTATACATGGCGTAGAGTAGGATGAGGATGCAGAGGGCGGCGGCTGCCACGATGCCCACCACCATGCCTGTGGTGCTGCTGGACTCCCTCACTACCTCTGATGTCCCCGGGAACGGTTTGACCTCCGGGAGAGGGGGGTGGGCTGCTGGAGGGAGGATGAGGGGAGAGGGGAGGGAGAGGGGGATAGAGAGAGTTGTCTGTATAGTCTAACGTTTTCCTCCATGTTAGTTGCCATCATTGTCCATCATCTTTCTGTTTAGTCTGGCATTGTTTTTGCTTTGGTTTTTGTTTCTTTGATACTGTAAAGCGTCTGTGGATTCTTGAAAAGCGCTATAAAAATTCCATGTATTATTATTATTAGTATTATTAGTATTATTAATGGAAAAATGAGATAGGACAGTGCTCTATAGTTTCACTTGCACTACAGAATGGAGTGCAGCAATTCTGCAAATGTGTGATCGCAGGGTAAACCTTCTGCTGCACACTAAACCCAAATGTTTCTCTAGTCTACTAGCCAGACTGTTAGTGTGTCAGGGTAGTAGTGTGGTAGTATAGTAGTAGTTTGTACTGTATATGGTATATATTACCAGAGCTGGGGTCACATGGGTCAATGTCCTCGTCATCACTGGGACACTCAGCTGACGCCACCAGCAGGTCGTCTGTTGACTGGAGAGAGACAATGTATCATTAAACACACGCTATTGTTTTTTTGTAATATTTATTAATCACTGTATCCTTTTATGTTAATGTTATTTACATGTTAAGTATTTTCAGAGAGCTCCTCTCATTCTGCAAACAGAACACAATAAAACGCTCATCTTGTAGTCAAATACATTTCGATTTTCAGATTTTCCAGATGCATGAACATGACAACACCGCACACAGTATTCACACATACACTGTTACTGCCCCGAGTCCTGGCAAACTTCCAAATTGTGAAGAGAGAGGCGGAGAGAAAGCGAGAGAAAGGAAGTGAGAAAGAGAAGAGGCGGAGAGAGGTGTTAGTTACGAGCTGTGAGCTAATCACAAGGGATCACTTATCCATCCCCTCCTCTTCTCTCCTTCTACCTAAATTCTACCAGCAGGTTAAATGTGCAACCAGAGGAAAAAAAACTTTAGACCACCTTTACTCCACACACAGAGACGCATACAAAGCTCTCCCTCGCCCTCCATTTGGCATATCTGACCATAACTCTATCCTAAGCAAAAACTAAAGCAGGAAGCACCAGTGACTCGGTTAATAAAAATGTGGTCAGATGACGCAGATGCTAAGCTACAGGACTGTTTTGCTAGCACAGACTGGAATATGTTCCGGAATTCTTCAGATAGCATTGCGGAGTACACCACATCAGTCACTGGCTTCATCAATAAGTGCATCGATGACGTCGTCCCCACAGTGACATACCCCAACTAGAAGCCATGGATTACAAGCAACATCCGCACTGAGCTAAAGGGTAGAGCTGCCGTTTTCAAGGGTCGGGACTCTAACCCGGAAGCTTATAAGAAATCCTGCTATGTCCTCCGACGAACCATCAAACAGGCAAAGCGTCAATACAGGACTAAGATAGAATCGTACTACACCGGCTCCGACGCTGGTCGGATGTGGCAGGGCTTGAAAACTATTACAGACTACAAAGGGAAGCACAGCCGCGAACTGCCCAGTGACACAAGCCTACCAGACGAGCTAAATCACTTCTATGCTCGCTTCGAGGCAAGCAACACTGAAGCATGCATGAGAGCATCAGCTGTTCCGGATGACTATGTGATCACGCTCTCCGTAGCCGATGTGAGTAAGACTTTTAAGCAGGTCAACATTTTCAAGGCCGCAGGGCCAGACTGATTACCAGGACGTGTACTCCGAGCATGTGCTGACCAACTGGCAAGTGTCTTCACTGACATTTTTCACATGAGCAGACCACCATAGTCCCTGTGCCCAAGGACACTAAGATAACCTGCCTAAATGACTACCGACCCGTAGCACTCACGTCTGTAGCCATGAAGTGCTTTGAAGGCTGGTTATGGCTCACATCAACACCATTATCCCAGAAACCCTAGACCCACTCCAATTTGCATACCGCCCCAACAGATCCACAGATGATGTAATCTCTATTGCACTCCACACTGCCCTTTCCCACCTGGACAAGAGGAACACCTATGTGAGAATGCTATTCATTGACTACAGCTCAGCGATCAACACCATAGTGCCCTCAAAGCTGATCACTAAACTAAGGATCTTGGGACTAAACACCTCCCTCTGCAACTGGATTCTGGAAAAGAAGAGGACTGAGCACGCCCCCATTCTCATCGACTGGGCTGTAGTGGAACAGGTTGAGAGCTTCAACTTCCTTGGTGTCCACATCACCAACTAACTATCATGGTCCAAACACACCAAGACAGTCGTGAAGAAGGCACAACAAAACCTATTCCCCCTCAGGAGACTGAAAATATTTGGCATGGGTCCTCAGATCCTCAAAAAGTTCTACAGCTGCACCATCGAGAACATCCTGACTGGTTGCATCACGGCCTGGTATGGCAACTGCTCAGCCTCCGAACGCAAGGCACTACAGAGGGTAGTGCGTACGGCCCAGTACATCACTGGGGCCAAGCTTCCTGCCATCCAGGACCTCTATACCAGGCGGTGTCAGAGGAAGGCCCTAACAATTGTCAAAGACTCAAGCCACCCTAGTCATAGACTGTTCTCTCTGCTACCGCACATCAAGCGGTACCGGAGCGCCAAGTCTAGGTCCAAAAGGCTTCTTAACAGCTTCTACCCCCAAGCCATAAGACTCCTGAACAGCTAATCATGGCTACCTGGACTATTTGCACTGCCCCCCCCACCCCCCACCCCCCTCTTTTACGCTGCTGCTACTCTGTTTATTATTTATGCATAGTCACTTTAACTCTACCCACATGTACATATGACCTCAATTACATCGACTAGCCGGTGCCCCCGCACATTGACTCTGTACCGGTACCCCCCTTTATATAGCCTCCCTACTGTTATTTTATTTTACTGCTGCTTTAATTAACACTTTTTTTATTTTAAATTTTTCTTTAAAAAACTGCATTGTTGGTTAAGGGCTTCTAAGTAAGCATTTCACTGTAATGTCTACACCTGTTGTATTCGGCGCATGTGGCAAATAACATTTAATTTGATTAGATTTTTCTGGCCCTTCCTCCTTTTCCTATCTTCTCCCTCAATCCCTCCCACTTTCTTCATCCCCATCTCTCCTTCCTCCTACCTTCCTACTTTCCTCTTTGTATTGTGGTCCACCTATGTGCTGATTGCTGATCTCTGAGGACTGTGTGTACATATATAGTATATTAAGGTAACTGTAATACAGTAACTAACCAACAATAACTACAGTGTATTAACTATGAACCCTTCATGTCCCTGCCCTGCTCTCTCTGTGTTCAATGAGCAACACAAGTTGGGAAGATGCTCCTTTGGCCAACCCCCCCCCCCGCCTCCTCTTACTCACTCTCTCTCTATACTTCCTCTCCTCCTCCACCCTTTCTCTCTTTGGCAGCGCCCTCTCCCATCTCCTACTCTCCTTCCTGTTGCCATGGCAACTCTAAGTTCAGGCCGTTAAAATTAAGGGAGTGTTTCGCTGAGAGACCTGAAACACTGACACTCACCACCAGACAGAAAGAGAGAGAGAGAGAGAGAGAGAGAGAGAGAGAGAGAGAGAGAGAGAGAGAGAGAGAGAGAGAGAGAGAGAGAGAGAGAGAGAGAGGTAAGTAATGGATATAGGGAGAGAAAAAGAAAGAGCTATGTTGGGAGAGAGACAGATGATAGAAGAGAAAGAGATGAAGGAAGAGAGTGATGGAGGGAGAGAGGGACAAAGGATAAGGAAAGCACAAGAAGAGAAGGAAGGAGACATCAAAGTGTTGCAGCTTAAGTTAACATCATGATAATCAAGTGTGCATATTCATGAGCTAGTTAAACATCGCCCGCTGAGAAATGTGTGTGTGTGTGCATAAGCATGTGTTTGTGTGCGAGAGAGTGTGTGTGTGTGCGTGTTTTAAACCCACACTGAGAGTCAGTGGTGTATTAAAATGGGAGTGTGATGCATTGCAGTAGTCATAACTAACCTCAGTACGGGGACTGGAAAGAACAGCAGAACCAAATATAGAACAGGTCTAGAACCCAACATAGAACGGGACTAGAACCCACAAAAACCCTCACAAAAAATCTATACAAATACATTTAGCGTAATGCATCCCAAGATAACAGAAATACAGCACTACAGAAGTCTAGTAAAAAGCACTATACAAGCTAACCTCACATGAATGACTACATCAGCCAGATACATCTTGCAACGATGTGATAGATTTCACTTTTGCTAATTAGACAATCAAAAATCCTGGGAGAAAAGTAAACATAACGTTGTCTGCTTATAGGGTGCCCATGGCCCCAATTGCCTGAACGTGATTGATCAAGAGCAACTGTAAGCAGATGTGTATGTTTAGATCAATGCTTTTTCAATACCTGTAACTCTAACCCTCCATCTCTCTGCATCAAGCTGATAAATTATTTGACTAATGACTCCAACTCATTCTAGACTCCAAATGGAACTGTCTCCTCAGCTAACCTCTACTCACATGTCAATCAAACTACAGACCTGTCAATCAAACCACAGCCCTTTAAGTTGTCAATTAAAAGTGAGCCAAGTCTGTTCCACTGATGCACACTCACACTCCTGAACAATGCATGCCAACATCTTCCTATAGCCTCATCTCTTTTTCTCTCCGTCTTCCGTCTCTCCTCTATAGCCTTATCAATCTAGCAGCGATGCACGCCGCCTTCCAGCACAGATGAATAAAGAAAGGAAGAGAGTGAGAGATAAAGAAAGAGGGGAAGAAAAACCGAAAAGGAAAGAGACAGATAAAGAAAGAAAGAAAGAAGGAAAGGTAGAGATGAAGGAGATAGATGGGATCATGCTGAAGGAGTAAAATCAGTACCTGAGCAGCCGAACAATGCCAGCGAGCGTCCATGCCTGCCTGACTGCCTAGCTCACACATAACACATAACACACACACTCACGCACACACGGTGTACACACACTGCTCTAGTGCTTCCGCCGTACAGCCATAGTTCTACTTTAACACACACACACACTCTGTTGGCTGCAGCTCTGTCAGCACGGAGACAAGAGGAGACTACCTATCACTGCTGAGAGAGAGAGAGTGCGAGGGAGACAGAGAGAGGGAGGAGACTGAGATTGCTACAGTTGCTTCTACCCATATAACAGACGGACGCACGCACACGCAAAAACACACACGCACACACACACACCGATAACATCAAAACTAAACTGAGCAGAGTGAGTCAGAGCAGACTGTAGCGAAAAACAGAGCCATGCAGCACACACACTCTTTTGCATTATTAGTAACGCAGACTTCATAGGAGAGAGTCTCACTAAACTCAGGGCTGCAGGAAGAAACACATAAAACTCACACGCACACACACACGCCACATATACACACACGTCACGCGCACAAGCGCGCACAGTCACAAAATCGATGACATGCTCTGATCCATCATTAAGTGGTTTCACTGCTCCTCCCTCTGCTGCAACCGACTGTAACTAAGTACAGCCTACATGTTACCTCTATATGTTTGTGTGTGTCCATTAACACTTGTTGAATACAGCTTGGTTGCTAGGTAACCCCAGCAGTAGATCAGTGTTTCTTATTAAACACACACAAACTGCAATACACACACACACAAGCATGCACACACACACACACTGCACCATATCGAGCATACATTCTGTCTGACCTAGTTCCCATCTTGGGATATTGACTCATCTGCAATGCTCTCTGCAAACCAGTTACACCACCAACTACACACACGCATGTCTGAGGTGTAAAAAGGAACACAGTGTCTCACTCCATCACTCAAACCCACCATCTAGCCATCCATCCATCTATATATATTATTGATGCCTGAGGCTCTGCATTCCATTATTTATGTCTGAGGTATCTGGCAGCCTATACACAGAGGAGCTATACACTATGGAGCATGAGAGAGAGAGAGAGAAAGAGAGAGAGAGAATACCTAAGAGGGTTCACTATCTCCATGGCAACTCACATCATTGGAAATTATTCTTTTTCAGAGTGCGACAGACTATTTGATAATCCAGAATCCCTCTCCACACACAAACTAAGAGAGCCTGTTCATCATAACCTCCTGACTGGTAATAGCAGATACAGAATATAGTATCTATATCTGTGAGGTTATGAATAGCTTAGTTAGCCTGTTTATGCCTTAGTGTCATAGTTAGTTTCCTACCTGCTGCGTAGTTCCTCCTCCTTGCTTCCTGTTTGTGGCGGTTGTCGTGGTGATGTCGCCGGCATTGGCGGCAGGGTCTGATCGGTTTGCCCCGGCGGCAGCGCTGGATTGGGGCGTGATGGAGGAGGGCATGTCCCCAACCAATCGTGTGCTGCCCTCCAGGCGGATGTGGGCGTGTCCTTCGGCGGCCATGTTGAGTATCTTCAGTCCGTTGTAGTAGAGACCGGCCATCTGACCCTGGAACTGACCTGCTTCCTTTCCTCTTCCCACCGTCACTGTCGTCTGGCTGTTGAAGATGGTCAGCTGGCGGCCTGGACACACACACACACACATACAGACGCATACATAGGAGTCGTCGGTGTGATGACAATATACACGTTAATCGTAATGTTAGCGTGTTGTAAGTATGATGTGGGACATGACCAAAGGCTGAGATGTACTGTGGAATGGGGGGCTGGAGGAAGAGAGGAGGAGGAAGAGAGGAGGAGGAAAAGAAGATGAGGAAAGAGGATGAAAGGAAGAGGAGGATGAAGAGAGAGGACATGAGATAGCTGAGAGATGGTTGCTCTGGAGACGCATCAGGAGCAAGTCATCATGTTGATCAGACATATCGATTGATTTCCCACAAATATGGTTATTACAGCCTTATGAAGCCCTAAGAAGCCTAATGAAGCATTATAAAGCCATATGAAGCTCTATGAAGCATGCACAGGTCATAGCTCTGTCTCTGGTCACTGTTAAAGGGACTTCAGGTATTTAAAGGAGCTCTGCTGAAGTTTAAGAGGTTAATACAAAAAACAGTGCATTTAACATCTCTCAAGTCTTACAAGTAATATCTGATTATGAACTTTACTTTGACTATACAGATTATGATGTTCAACATTGATATATGTGGTGGCACTTTATAATAACTCTACGTAATAAAGCATTTATAATGGATTAGTAAATAGTTTATTCATCATTTATTAATCATTACTCCCACATTTGTACATTTTAGTAACCTAGTTATTCACAAATTTATAAACAACTTTTAAAGTATTTAGTAATGATTCATAAGATCATTCATAAGATGTTTAATATAGGTCCTTATAAACCATTTACTAATCATTAGTTAAGTCTTTCTGCATGGCCTCATCTAAAGTGTGGGCTATTTATACTTTATAAATACTTTATAAACATTTTGAGTGACCAGTGTAATTTCTCACAAAAAGACGGACATGCCATTGGTAGACATTCCAGCAGTGCTTGATGCTCCTTAAGGTCTCAAAATGGCCCCTAGAACATATGAGTGGTTAAACAATAAGCACTAAAGAGAGGATGTTTAAGAAAATATATTGAACATTTTATTCCAAAAGTCACACTATTGTAATAGTGTGATGTGTAACTTCAGACACACCTTATGTTGAGTAAAATAATGTTTTTTGTCTGAAAATGGTAACATAAGCATTTCTTGGCAGTGACTTTTCTACCAAAACCAAAGTGTTGATTGCAGTCACTCCTTAGAGCAGTGTAAACTCATAATTTGGTCAGCTGCGTGGGTCCATACATGTTAGAAATTGGGAGTTTGCTAAATCGCCACCCGCTAATTTCCCCACATGCATGAAGCAGTCAAAGTTTAAGCACCGCTTTCACCCAATCCTGGTATGGCCAAATAATCAGTGATCAAACACCGGAACTACTGCTGCTCAATAGATTTTACGCACAGAATCATTCCATGAGAGATTAAGAGCAGCCCATAGACTGCTTACGAGGTAAGGAAACAAATATCTGAATACATAATTTTGCTGAACTATACAATTACGTTTAAAGAGTTACTACTTTTAAAGGCCCAGTAAAGGTGCAGCCAAACAAAGCCATGTGTGAAAATAGTCTGTGGTTAAAAGACTGAAGCACCGGAAGAATTTAAAGGTCCAATGCAGGAACTTTTATCTCAATAAAGCCTAAAATCATTTATGGGTAACAATGTACCTGTTATCAGTTTTCCCCCTCCCCACTCAGACCACTCCCAGACAATCCTAGCTAAATTCTTGCTTGAGAAATTTGTCGTTGCTAAAAAGCTATTTTTGTTTCTTTTTGACCATTTTAAATTGAAAACAATCACAGTAAGGTACTTAATTGTTACCCAGAAATGATTTGATATTGATATAAAAACGGCTGCATTGGACCTTTAAGGAGCATCAGGTACTGCTGGAATATCTACCAATGGCTTGTCCATCTTTTTGTGAGAAATTACACTGGTCACTCAAAACATTTATAAAGTATTTAACTAATGATTAGTAAATGGTGAATAAACTATTTTCTAAACCATTATAAATGCTTTATTACGAGGAGTTATTATTAAGTGAACCCTTTAAATGTTTACAATTGGAGAAACAACATTATGACAGAATCTTAATAAAGCACTTTTTATCTGTACTAGTTTCACATTTATTCAGATTAATCTTTCCATTGTCCCTTTAACCTGGTTTTATCAACCTTTCTATCTACAGTTTACAGTGAAGTAGTGTATTACAGAACAGTACAGTTACACTACAGTTTACACAGTCTGACAATATTACACTCTAACAGCTACTATAACGTTTAAACTTAGTTATGGATTTATAATTTTAGATGTTAGTTGATGGTCACAGTTTCAACTTGCTTCAGGTTGACTTTTAAGCTGAAAGTTTTAAGTAATTTTAATGATGTTTTTACCTTTGTCGAGTAGCCAATCGTCAACTACTCGACCGAGTCGATAGGGGATTCTCTGTCTAGCGATGGCCAGGCGCTCGTTATCAATGTTGCCTTTAATTTAAAGATGAAAACACAGTAATTACGCACATCAACACCTGGCACAGGAGCTGGACAACAAAATAAACAGCCATGAAGAGAAAGTCAAAGTCCTGACCAAGGTCCTGTTAGTCGGTCCAAACATTGTTGCTGTGTCATTAATTTCAATAAGAGTTAGATTCAGGAGCAGCAACCAGCGAGCGGACATTGACTTTCTGTTCATGGGCTTTAATTTAAAGAGACATTTAAACAGTTAATTAACATCTGACAGACAGGAGACATCTCATCTGACTGGGTTTAGAGAGTTTGATAAAACAAAATAATAATAACGATAATCACTGTTAAAGCTAACAGATCAACCCTCATACACCTCTCTGTCTAGTGTTTAGCCTTTTAGCTAACATATAACTAAATAACTCTCGAAAATATATGATTACTACTTTTATATAAAAACAACAACAAATGTTTAAAAACCCAATACAAAAAAAAATACAATCATTTGTTCTCTTCGTTTTTTTCCCCAGTCTAGTTTACTCAGAAAATGACATTTTTATTGTGTTGCTGTTTGGCCAAATGCCCCAATGGCTATTATTTTATTTTTTAAATAAAACACAACTGCTACTTGTATTAAATGTTTACATGGTTCATTTATGTATCACACTATTTAACATAGCAACATCAATGACCAGTCAGTACACACTCCCTGGAGTAAAGGCAACAGGGGAAGTGTTACTACATATTTATTTTTTATGTTTTAACAGGAAAATTACATCATAACATAAACATTTGATCTTCAGCAAGTCATAACACAAGTTGTAATAGTAACGTAGCTATGATGTAGTAATAACATCAGTAACAGCAACATTACAACATCCTTATATTAAAACTGAAAGAAACAGTTACGATATATAGTCACTTCCTTTTATTCAGGAAGTGAAGCGAAGCCCTTTAGTGTGATTGGCTGTGACAGGCAGGTGTAGGCTGTGGTCGGTCCTTACCTGAGGGGTAACGCTCTATGATTGGCAGGTCGTCCAGCTGCAGGGTTGCGTTGCCTCCGCTGCGGGTAAACCGAACTATGTGGTACTTCCCATCATTAACGAATTTAGCAGTCTCTTCAATGTTGATGTCATCTGTTCCCACGTTAAACACTACTCTAATATTTCCTTTATCCTGAGGAGTGAAAAATAGAGACATAGAGAGAGAGAGAGATTGAGGGACAAATAGGGATAGAGAAAGAGGATAGGATAGGAAGGGAGAAAGGGAAAGAGTTATAGTTGGTAGTGTAGCAGAGTGCTGATTTGTAGAGGCAAGTGTTAAACAATGTAATCCTTACTATCTGTAGCTGTAGATAGTCCCCCAGTCCCGAGGCACTGTCGACCCGTAGCAGCGTAGCGTGTTTCTGCTGTGTGCTGAAGCCCAGCGCCAGCCGGTCAGCCCGTGTACTGGGGCGCTCGTTAGGAGGCCAGGTGTACACAATCACACCCCCGTCACGACCAAAGATATACGTGGTCCCCGCTGTGGACAACAGATTTACATGACTTGTTGTCAAATGAGCCGAAACAGGATGTAGTAAACAGGAAATTGAAAGTAGTAAACAGGAAATAGGACATAGGAATAGAAAAAAATAAGGTGACTCACCGTCATTGCAGAGCGGTCCTCCGAATGATGTCATACTGCAATCACAGCTAAATCCCTCCCACTGCTGCAAACACACGCCCTGATTGGAGCAAGAGTCTTCCTGACAAGTAGTACTGGGACCTGGAAAGACAAATCCTTTAACTTCTAAACGATAAAGGCTAATGTCAACCAGAGGCTGCTGAAAGTAACAAAATAATCAGAACAAGCCCTTAAAAATGCTCTGGTTAAATCGACAACAGCCCAGAGAACAAACATTAATTCAAACATTTTTGTGAATCATTCCTTTAAGAGTTGATCCTCATTGAAAATGAATAGCACTTTTGGATTGTTGAATTGGAATTCCAATTCACTGGACATCCTGTAGCTGTCCATGAGGTTGGCCAGCACTAGGTTAGATTCAGGGAGGGAGGGGTTAAACAGAAGAGGGTGGGGTTAGAAGCAGGGGGTGGGGTTAGAATCATGCTTCCAAGTGAAGGAGGTGAAGGTTGTGTGGTCTAAATTAAACAGTAATGGTGTCACTGAGGGGATGATGTCACTACGGTGACCTGGACAGGTCACGTCAGAACACACCACACACACATGCACCCACAAGTGTAACCGAGGTTGCTCGCGTAACGAGTACCCTTGCCTGAGACCTGAACACATGCGTTAGCTGAGCTAATGTCTAAACTTTAGCTTAGTAGGCTAACACAGACTTATGGTGCGCAGGAGACTCAGGTTCGAACCCAGTCGATCACAAGCGCACACAGACACATACACGCACACACAGCGATCTACCTTGCAAGTCAGCTTTCATCAATGCAACTTTTGTCAGCCGAAAACAAAAACAAAACAACAAGCAAAATATTTTAGATGGTTAGTAAAAACAAAGCATAGAAATGCCTGTAAAAAAACAAACAAAAAAACAGAGAGAGCGAAAGAGAGAGAAAGATGGAAGAAAAAGACAGATGCCAAAGCAAGGGGGATAATCTCCAACATAATACAAATAGCTGTTAGCTGGAGCAAGAGCGAAATAATTAGTTAAAAAAAAGATGCTATGATATGCAATGGTAAGGAGAAAGTCCTGGTGTGTGTGTGTCTTTCTATACTTTTTTTTGTGTCGGTACTCATGGTTTGTGTGTGTGTGTGTACCTGTGTGTGTGTGTGTACCTTCACAGCCCCTCTCCACTTGTCCGGTGGTAGCTAGAGCATCGGCCAGCAGGTCGGGTAGTTGGCCGTTGAGGTCAATGGTTGCTAAGCAACCCTGGAAGCCTTCACGGGAGTGGACGAGCTTGGGAAGGTCCCGGTACATCTCCTTAGCCACTCCCCCTACGTACAGGTCACCTATAGGAGCACAGCACAACTTGAGTGACAGCTCCATGCACCAATACCTGTCTCTCTCTTAGCTGACAATACTGCCCTCTGCTGTTAGGGAACAAGGGCTGAGGCAGAGAGATTCCATAGTAGTAGAAGGGTAGTATGGTATGTACAGTGTGTGTGGTGTGTGTGTGTTACCTTTGAGATCCAGGTTCTTGGCTCCCATAGTGGTCTGTGTAGTGACCTTAGTGTCTATCTTAACAGTGTGCAGGTTGTTGGTGTCTCTGGATATGAGCACGTTGTGCCAGTGGTTGTCATTCAGAGGAGAGTTTGAGTTCCCTTTGATCAGGTGAGCACCGTTCCCCAGGTCGGACACATAGTGGAGGTAGCTGCGGAAGGTGATTAGGATTAGAATATTATAATATGAACTGTATATCCATGAGTCGATAGTTGTCTCACTCTGACATGTCCCTTCACCAAGTGATTTTAATCTCCTCTGTTGTACAGTATCAGTAATGAAAATAGTAGCTATAGGTAGTTAGCTAGTTAGCTATACACTGTTGTACAGTATCAGTAATGTAAATAGTAGCTATAGGTAGTTAGCTATCCTCTGTCGTACAGTATCAGTAATGTAAATAGTAGCTATAGGTAGTTAACTAGTTAGCTATCCTCTGTTGTACAGTATCATTAATGTAAATAGTAGCTATAGGTAGTTAGCTAGTTAGCTATACTCTGTTGTACGGTATCAGTAGTAGACAGACTATAGTATCAATAGGTAGTTAATTAAGTAATTATGCCGTACCCTTTGACCAGCTCCAACACTATAAAGTCGTTTCCGTCTCCTCTGTTGTAGAGTATAAGTCCGTCAGGTGAGGTGGTTTTGAACTGGAGGAACAGGTGCATGGAGTAGTAAGCCTGGAGCGTGGGCAGGGTCACGTAGCTCGACCGTGACCTGAACGTAACCGGGTCCGCCACGATGCTCTTATAACCAATCACAGCATTCAGTTCGCAATAGTCGATGTCACCATTCTTACCTAGGATCAAGATGACCAAGGATGAGATGTGTGTGTGTACTCTGGTCTTAGTGGTCTATGTAAGGAGTGTAAATAAATAAGTAAAAGTAAAAATGTGCTTACCAAGTCACATAATAAGTTGCATGGACTCTGTGAGCAATAATAGTGTTTAACATGATTTTTGAATGACTACCTCATCTCTGTACCCTACACATACAATTATCTGTAAGGTCCCTCAGTCGAGCAGTGAATTTCAAACAGATTCAGGGAGGTTTTCCAATGCCTTGCAAAGAAGGGCACCTATGGTTAGATGGGTCAAAAATAATGCAGACATTGAATATCCCTTTTAGCATGGTGAAGTTATTAATTACACTTTGGATGGTAAATCACTACACCCAGTCACTACAAAGATACAGACGTCCTTCCTACCTCAGTTGCCGGATAGGAAAGAAACCAATCAGGGATTTCACCATGAGGCTAATGGTGAGTTTAAAATAGCTACTAATGGCAGTGATAGGAGAAAACTGAGGATGGATCAACAAGATTCAGTCTGCTTTCCACCAGACACTGGGAGATGAATTCACCTTTCAGCAGGACAATAACCTTAAACACAAGGCCAAATCTACACTGGAGTCGCTTACCAAGAAGTCGGTGAATGTTCCTGAATGGCCGAGTTACAGTTTTGACTTAAATCTGCTTGAAAATCTATGGCAAGACCTAAAAATGGTTGTCTAGCAATGATCAACAACCAATTTGACAGAGCTTGAAGAATTTAGAAAATAATAACGTGCAAATGTTGCATAATCCAGACTTACCCAGAAAGACTCACAGCTGTAATCGCCAAAGGTGATTCTAACATGTATTGACTCAGGGGGTTCAATACTTACAGTTGAAGTCGGAAGTTTACATACACTCAGGTTGGACATCTACTTTGTGCATGACACAAGTCATTTTTCCAACAATTGTTTACAGACAGATTATTTCACTTATAATTCACTGTATCACAATTCCAGTTGGTCAGAAGTTTGGAAAATGTCATGGCTTTAGAAGCTTCTGATAGGCTAATTGACATCATTTGAATCAATTGGAGGTATACCTGTGGATGTATTTCAAGGCCTACCAAACTCAGTGCCTCTTTGCTTGACATCATGGGAAAATCAAAAGAAATCAGCCAAGACCTCAGAAAAAAAATGGTAGACCTCCACAAGTCTGGTTCATCCTTGGGAGCAATTTCCAAACGCCTAAAGGTACCACATCCATCTGTACAAACAATAGTACACAAGTATAAACACCATGGGACCACGCAGCCGTCATACCGCTCAGGAAGGAGACACGTTCTGTCTACTAAAGATGAACATACTTTGGTGCGAAAAGTGCAAATCAATCCAAGAACAACAGCAAAGGACCTATCGGCATAACCTGAAAGGCCGCTCAGCAAGGAAGAAGCCACTGCTCCAAAACCGCCATAAAAAAACCAGACTACGGTTTGCAACTGCACATGGGGACAAAGATTGTACTTTTTGGAGAAATGTCCTCTGGTCTGATGAAACAAAAATAGAACTGTTTGGCCATAATGACCATCGTTATGTTTGAAGGAAAAAGGGGGTAGCTTGCAAGCCGAAGAACACCATCCCAACCGTGAAGCACAGGGGTGGCAGCATCATGCTGTGGGGGTGCTTTGCTGCAGGAGGGACTGGTGTACTTCACAAAATAGATGGCATCATGAGGAAGGAAAATTATGTGGATATATTGAAGCAACATCTCAAGACATCAGTCAGGAAGTTAAAGCTTGGTCGCAAATGGGTCTTCCAAATGGACAATGACCCCAAGCATACTTCCAAAGTTGTGGCAAAATGGCTTAAGGACAACAAAGTCAAGGTATTGGAGTGGCCATCACAAAGCCCTGACCTCAGTCCTATAGAACATTTGTGGCCAGAACTGAAAAAGCGTGTGCGAGCAAGGAGGCCTACACACCTGACTCAGTTACACCAGCTCTGTCAGGAGAATGGGCCAAAATTCACCCAACTTATTGTGGGAAGCTTGTGGAAGGCTACCCGAAACGTTTGACCCAAATTAAACAATTTAAAGGCAATGCTACCAAATACTAATTGAGTGTATGTAAACGTCTGACCCACTGGGAATGTGATGAAAGAAATAAAAGCTGAAATAAATAATTCTCTCTAAATATTATTCTGACATTTCACATTCTTAAAATAAAGTGGTGATCCTAACTGACCTAAGACAGGGCATTTTACTAGGATTAAATGTCAAGAATTGTGAAAAACAGAGTTTAAATGTATTTGGCTAAGGTGTATGTAAACTTCCGACTTCAACTGTATGTGTAAGGTGTGTGTAGACATGTCTACACATTGATTCAAGTACAGTGCATTCGGAGAGTATTCAGACCCCTTTCCACATTTTGTTATGTTAAAGCTTTATTCTAAAATTGATTAAATAGTTTTTCCCCTCATAAATCTACACACAATACCCCATAATGACAAAGCAAAAATAGGTTTTTAGAAATTTTATCAAATATATTAAAAATAAAAACGTTAACATAAGTATTCAGACCCTTTACTGAGTACTTTGTTGAAGCACCTTTGGCAGTGATTACAGCCTCGAGTCTTCTTCGGTATGACCCAACAAGCTTGGCACACCTGTATTTATTTATTTTTATTCTAAAAAAATTTACCCCTTTTTCTCCCCAATTTCGTGGAATCCAATTGGTAGTTACAGTCTTGTCCCATCGCTGCAATTCCCGCACGGACTCTGGAGAGGCGAAGGTCGAGAGCCCTGCGTCCTCCGAAACCCAAGCCGCACTGCTTCTTGACACAATGCCCGCTTAACCCGGAAGCCAGCCGCACCAATGTGTCGGAGGAAACACCATACATCTGGCGACCGTGTCAGCGTGCACTGCGCCCGGCCCGCCACAGGAGTCGCTAGTGCGCGATGGGACAAGAACATCCCTGCCGGCCAAACCCTCCCCTAACCTGGACGACGCTGGGCCAATTGTGCGCCGCCCCATGGATCTCCCGGTCGCGGCTGGACTCGAACCAGGATCTCTAGTGGCACAGCTAGCAGTGCGATGCAGTGCCTTAGACCACTGAGCCAATTGGGAGGCCCGGCACACCTGTATTTGTTTCTCCAATTATTTTCTGCAGATCCTCTCAGGCTCTGTCAGGTTGGATGGGGAGCGTCGCTGCACAGCTATTCTCAGGTCTCTCCAGAGATGTTCGATCTGGTCCAAGTTCGGGCTCTGGCTGGGCCACTCAAGGACATTCAGAGACTTGTCCCGAAGCCACTCCTGCGTTGCCTTGGCTGTGTGCTTAGGGTTGTTGTCCTGTTGGAAGGTGAACCTTCGCCCCAGTCTGAGGCCCTGAGCACTCTGCAGCAGGTTTTCATCAATGATCTCTCTGTACTTTGCTCCGTTTATCTTTCCCTCTATCCTACCTAGTCTCCCAGTCCCTGCCATTGAAAAACATCCCAACAGCATGATGCTGCCACCACCATGCTTCACCGTAGGGATAGTGGAGGGTTTCATTCAGACGTGACGCTTGGTATTCAGGCCAAAGAGTTCAATCTTGGTTTCATCAGACCAGAGAATCTTGTTTCTCATGGTCTGAGAGTCCTTTAGGTGCCTTTTGGCAAACTCCAAGCGGGCTGTCATGTGCCTTTACTGAGGAGTGTCTTCCGTCTGGCCACTCTACTATAAAGGCCTGATTGGTGGAGTGCTGCAGAGATGGTTGTCCTTCTGGAAGGTTCTCCCATCTCCACAGAGGAACTCTGGAGCTCTGTCAGAGTGACCATCAGGTTCTTGGTCACCTCCATGACCAAGTCCCATCTCCCCCGATTGCTCAGTTTGGCCGGGCAGCCAGCTCTAGTCTTGATGGTTCCAAACTTCTTCCATTTAAGAATGATGCAGGCCACTGTGTTCTTGGGGACCATCAATGCTGCAGAATTTTTCTGGTAGCCTTCCCCAGATCTGTGCCTCGACACGATCCTGTCTCGGAGCTCTACGGACAATTCCTTCGACCTCATGGCTTGGTTTTTGCTCTGACATGCACTGTCAACTGTGAGACCTTATATAGACAGGTGTATGCCTTTCCAAATCATGTCCAATCAATTGAATTTACCACAGGTGGACTCCAATCAAGTTGTAGAAACATCTCAAGGATGATCAATGGAAACAGGATGCACCTGAGCTCAATTTCGAGTCTCCTAGCAAAGGGTCTGTATACTTATGTAAAGGTATTTCTGTTTTTTATTATTAATATATTTGTAGACATTTCTAAAAACCTGATTTCGCTTTGTCATTATGGGGTATTATGTGTAGATTGATGAGGAAAACAATGAATTTAATCAATTTTAGAATAAGGCTGTAAAGTTACAAAATGTGGAAAAGGTCAAGGGGTCTGAATACTTTCCGAAGGCACTGTATGTGTGTGTAAGGTGTGTGTAGGCGTGTGTACTCTATCCTTACAGAGGTCTATAGGGCATGCCTACCAGTGTGAGGTGTATATAAGGTGTGTCTGTACTCTGGTCTTACAGAGGTCTATGTATGGCGTGTCATTCAGCGTAAGTGCAGTTGTGTATGTTTAAGGTGTGTGTGTAGGTGTGGGTATAAGTAGTGTTGGTAGGTGAATGCTCTGTTCTTACAGAGGTCTACGGCATGCCGTTGAGGGCGAGGTGTGTGTAAACCAGGGGTGTCAAACTAATTTTCGGTCTTCAACAAGATCCTGAGGGCCGCACAACAAATTGCCTATATTTCCTCGCTGTGAACATTTTTAGAAAAGTGTCCTCTATCCATCGTTTTTGGAATTTCCCATGCTCCCTGACTGTCTAGCTTTCATTTAGGTGATTATTAGCAAGCTGGACACAGTCAAGAAACAGTATGAATATACAGTAGAATTATTTTCTTTTCTATACAGTTTCTATTTGGTTTTAGTCATTGTGAAGTATATTGAGTTCGTTTTCCCCAACTGAGTGTATGAAACATTAAGAACACTTTCCCCTTTCCCTTTGAACAGTCTCAATGTGTGGGGCATGAACTCTACAAGGTGTTGAAAGCATTCCACAGGGATGCTGGCCCATGTTGACTCCAATGTTGACTCCATGTTGACTCCACAGTTGTGTCAAGTTGGCTGGATATCCTTTGGGGGGGGGTGGACCATTCTTGATACACATGGGAAATCAATCAAATCAATCACATTAATTTATAAAGCCCTTTTTAAATCAGCAGATGTCACAAAGTGCTTATACAGAAACCCAGCCTAAAACCCCAAAGAGCAATGCAGATGAAGAAGTACGGTGGCTAGGAACAACTCCCTAGAAAGGCAGGAACCTAGGAAGAAACCTAGAGAGGAACCAGGCGATTATAAGAGTACATGGCCATTAAGGGAAACTGTTGAGTGTGAAAAACTCTACAGCGTTGCAGTTCTTGACACAAACTGGTGCGCCTGGCACCTACTACCATAACCCGTTCAAAGGTACTTCAATCTTTTGTCTTACCCATTCACCCTCTGAATGGCACACACACACAATCCATGTCTTAACTGTCTGAAGGCTTAAAAATCCTTCTTTAACCTGTCGCCTCCCCTTCATCTACACAGATTGAAGTGGATTTAACAAGTGACATCAATAAGCAATCATAGCTTTCATCTTTCACCTGGATTTACCTGGTCAATCTATGTCATGGAAAGAGCAGGTGTCCTTAATGTTTTGTACACATATATATTTATTTTTACTCAAACCACCGGCCTACGGGCTGTATGTTTGACACCCCTGGTGAAAGGTGTGCGTAAGGCGTGTGTGGGTGTGTGTAAGGTGTGTGTGTACTCTGTCCTTACAGAGGTCTATGTAAGGCATCCCGTTGAGGGTGAGGCCCTGCAGGTGCCCTATGAAGTTGGAGGGCACAGCGGGCATGAAGCGCTTCTCTGTCACAATGCCTGTCTCCACGTTGTGGAACTCCAGCTGGGTGTGGTCGCCTGCCATCTGACCTGGAGGGGTTAGAGGTCAGGGGTCAGGGGAGAGGTAGCAGACCGGTGTCAAATACATTCAAACACTTGAGGTGCGCTTGATTTAGCTTGACCAGAGTGCCGGGAGAGTGGAGTTTGCACTTTTGGGACTATTCCATTGGTTACATTGGACCAGGTAAGCTAAATACAAGACACTTCAAGTGCTTGTATGTATTTGAGCCAGGTCTGCAGGTTATGGGTTTGAGATCAGCGGTTAAGGTTAGAACTGAAAGGTCAGGGTTGACAGTGTTGGGGGGTTGCTATGGTTACCTTCTACAGGTTGCAGGTCGTCGACGGTGAGTTTGAGGCTTTTCCCACGACGCACCACTCTGACCGTGTGCCACTCATTATCATTCAGCCCCACCCCCGCAAAGATGGTCTCTGGACCCTTACCTACACACACTCCAGTTAGTTAATACACACACATACCTGTACACACACAAATACCTTAGGCATATTTTCACACACCCACACACACTGTAGGGTTAACACATACACACACACACAGGCACACAGGTAGGCAGGCACACACACACACACACACACACACACACACACACACACACACACACACACACACACACACACACACACACACACCATGTCTCCTGCCATAGTGTCCTACCGTTTCTGGCCACATGGTGGCACTAGATACTCAGCCCTGTAGCTAGAAGGGCTGGACGTAGAGCTGGCATTCAGCAGGAGGAATATTCTCCATACATCTCTCTCTTTTTCCCTGCCCTTTTCTCTCGCTCTTTGTCTCACTGTCCATCTCTCTCTCTGTGTCCCTCTCTCTTTCCCTCCTTTCATCCCCCCTCTCCTCGTTCTCTGTCTCTGTCCATCTCTCCTCATTTACTGTCTCTCCCTGTCAGTCTTTCTTCTCTCTCTCTCTCAAATAGTGAAATCTCCCCAGGCTAGACCAGTGTGTCAGTGTGTGTGTGTGTGTGTGTGTGTGGGGGGGGGGGGGGGGGTGATGATAAGGCGAGAGGTAAACAGCCTGACAGATTTTGCTGTGGGAAATGTCAGCACCATGACACACACACATACACATAGCATATTGCCGCATGTGTGAGGTCTCTCTGTGTGTGTACATGCATGTGTGAGTGTGTGCGAGGTATGTTAGGTGTGATTAGTTTTCAGGAGAGGACAGAGGGCTCCCCTGAGGAGTCTCAGCTGTGCTCTGGGCAAGAGCATCTCATCCTGTTACCATGGATCACTGCCTGAGTGTATGTGTGTGTGTGTGTGATGGGGTGAATGGGCTTATGTGAGGCAGTGATCCATGTCAACCTGAGAACAGCCAGGACACACATTCACTCACTCACAGGACATGAAATATGGTCATGGAAGAGTGGCTAATTGCGGAACCAATGTCCATGGGACTTATACAAATCAAATGTATGTAATATAATTGATTGTCCTTTTGCACGCCCATAGACTGAATGGTGACATTATCATCAACTCTTTTTATGTTTTATAATCAACTCAGAATATTAAGCTCTTTCTATGGCAGTATTTTTGACTCAAAGTGGCTGATAACTCAGGATCATTAGAAAATCATAATCCATTTGAAGGTTTTGATATGCTTATAAAATGCATTATGTTACATACTGCAGATGGAGATAGGATAGTTGGCTAGTATTGTTCCCATGGCAGCACCTTCTCCCTGTGCCAGTACCAGGATACCGACATAGAGTCGACATCCGTGGTGAAAGGACACACACCACAGAGCTCAAGTCACGAAAACAACATCCAGACAAACAAAGCCCTCAGACAGAGGGAGGGAGGGATGGAGGGATGTAAAGGGATGGAGGGATAGAGAGTCTTTTGTTTCCAGCGTGAAGGAGACATAATTAACCAAAAGCCCTAAGAAGCTTTCAGACAATCACCGTGATGGAACACCACACCTTCACACTCCTCTGTACATCTCTCTCTCTCTCTCTCTCTCTCTCTCTCTCTCTCCCTCCTCATCTCTACTCTCTCTCTCCTCTCTCTCCTCACGTCTCATCTCTCTCTCTCGTCTCTCTCTCTCTCTCTCTCTCTCTCTCTCCCCTTTGCTCTTCTCTGTCTTCCCTCTGTACCTCATTCTTTTTCCTGTTCCCCCCTCACCTCCTTCACTAACACCCCCCACCCCCCTCTTTCCTCACTCTGACTCTACTCTCTTGCCTTTTCTCTAAAATGGCTGCCTTAGTAACCCTGGACTCTAGCAGAATCACACAGTCACACACACACACATCCACAAACACACACACAAATTCAAACACGCGTGCACAGACACACACACACTGAGAGGTAGTGTGAGATGGAGTGTGACTTACTGGCGGTACAGTTAATCCTGATACAGTCTGGAGGGAGAGCAGAGCAGAGGGTTAACGCTGCACAAACACAGAATACCACGCGCTGGGGACAAACACACCAACACACCCTACACACCTCGCTGAGAACATACACTCTCCCCGCCTCCTGGGGGCAAGTTGGAGGGGGTTATGGGCCAATCAGAGCAGGGGACATGGCTGTCTGCAATCTGCTCTGAGCAAATGGCATAACAGCACAGTGAATCCAGCAGATAAGATTAGTGGATCTCTGAATTGGCTTGCTATGTAATTGGCTGAGGGAGAATGAGAGGTTTCAGTTTAACCGGTGTGTCTTTGGCTACTCTAGGTCAGAGTGACGGCCTCAGTGACCATGACATCCATAACATCAGGACACTGAGGTGGGCATGGCCCCATATTTCCGTCACCTAGCAACAGAGTACCAAATCCCGCCCCTGGTGGAGCAGAGGCTCATGGGAGGTCAGAGGTCATAGTTCCCATAATACCTCAGTGTGTCGGGTGTCGTCAACCACAGCAGAGACGCAGATGCTACAATCAGAGACCAACACACACCCCTGCATCTGTGTGTGTGAACTTAGGGGTGCAGTGGTCATCTGGGAGTAAGCAGAGAATGCAGCCTCGGACCGTGAGGACCAACCCTCTGTTCAACAATACACAGGCAGACAGACAGACAATACAGTACAGTACAATAGAGTGGATGTGAGTGTTTGTGTATGTGTGTAATATCAGATTTTGGTGTAAATGTTTATGTGCACTTAGGTTGACAGTGTCTGTGTGCTTGTGTGTATCTAGGCTAACAAAATGTGTTTGTGTGTACCTAGGTTGACATTGTCTGTGTGTACCTAGGTTGACAGTATCTGTATGTACCTAGGTTGACAGTATCTGTGTGTACCTAGGTTGACAGTATCTGTGTGTACCTAGGTTGACAGTATCTGTGTGTACCTAGGTTGACAGTATCTGTGTGTACCTAGGTTGACAGTATCTGTGTGTACCTAGGTTGACAGTATCTGTGTGTACCTAGGTTGACAGTATCTGTGTGTACCTAGGTTGACAGTATCTGTGTGTACCTAGGTTGACAGTATCTGTGTGTACCTAGGTTGACAGTATCTGTGTGTACCTAGGTTGACAGTATCTGTGTGTACCTAGGTTGACAGTAAGGCGGACACGGCCCCCATCCAGCTCCAGTCGGAGCGTGTCGGCTGAGTTCCGTGATGTTGTTGCCATGAGAACACCGTAGGCTCGCTGGGAGCGAAACCGTAGTGACACGTCCTCCGCCTCGGTGTGCATCGCTACGGGCAACTGGACCTTCATAAATTTACTACCATCATAGGACAGGATGGTCGCATCTAGAGAAGTGGGGGGGGGGGGGGGGGGGGGGGGTGGAAGAAAGGAGTGAAGCAGAAGAAGACATGAATATCTGCCAGTGACAAGAAAAAACAGGTCCAGACCAGTCCAGACCAGTCTAGACCAATCCAGACCAATCCAGATCAAACAGTGTCTCCAGTTTGATTTAAATGCCAGAAAATATAAAATTCAAAGCTCCTTCGTTCATCTCTCTCTCCCTCCTCTCTCTCTCTCCTCCTATCTCTGTTTCCGTGGAAGACCGTTGGAGGCGAAAACAAGAGAACAGGAAGAGAGAGGCCTCATGCATACTAATGAGCTCAGAGTCTGTGTGTGTGTGAATGTGAATAAGGGAGTGCATTTCAGAGGGAACAGAGGAGTGTTCAGTAAAGCGAGGAAGGCTAGAGCAAAGGAGAGATAGGGAGAAGGCGAGAGAGGAAGAGAGTGGAAGAGCGGGAGAAAAGCTTTTGGCTAAAATGCAAATGAATCCTCATTAACTGGAGGTTAGCCTGTTACATCACGATAACATAACTAACTAACTAACACATACAAGTGCACATACACACACACCTGAGTAATTTCTAAACAGCTGACTAATTGAAATGATAAAATGGCGCTTCAGCAGAGAACCTGACTGAGGAGGGTAGTAGAAAAAGGGAGATGGAGGGAGAGGGAGGGAGAGGGTGGGAGAGGGTGGGAGAGGGAGGGAGAGGGAGGGAGAGGGAGGGAGAGGGTGGGAGAGGGTGGGAGAGGGAGGGAGAGGGAGGGAGAGGGAGGGAGAGGGTGGGAGAGGGTGGGAGAGGGTGGGAGAGGCAGGAGATGGAGAAGGATGGATGCTGATGAAGGCAGTATGTCTGAACGTGTCCTTGTGACGACTGTTCTGGATTAAAACTGAAGAAACAAACAGATCTGCGAGAATATTGGGGACAAAAAGAGAGAGATAGAGTGAGAGAGATGGAGAGAAAGAGAGACATAGAAAGAAGTAGAACTGCAGGTAGGAGTAAACATGGCCAATCACTCTCTCCATCTGTTTCTCCATCTGTCCATCCTTTAATCCACTGAACCACCAGTTACTGAGGCTGACCCTCGCTCTCTCTCACACACACATTTTTCAATTTCATCTCCCTATAGAGGACAGATCTGAGGTGTGTGTGTTTGTTAGATATTGGCAAGAAAATGAATTACCATGGTAACAGAATCAGCTGCTTCACCATGACAACATGCTCTCTCTCCTCCCTCTCTCTGACTCATCTTTCTTTTCTCCATCTGTCTCTCTCTTCAGCTTTCCCTGTCTCTAAGGGATTCACTTCATCCATCACTCACTCAGTCTTCCTTCTTTCATCTCTCTCGGTCTGTCTCTTTTTATATGTTTTATTGGTTCAGTATGACTGTTCAGAGGTAGTAACTATACAGTAGACAATGCTTTAATAAACCAGAGACTAAGTAATCCCACCTCCTTCCTCCTCTCTCCATCCCTCCCTCACTCCCCACCCGCTCACCTCTCTCACAGGCCCGTCCCAGGTATCCAGTCCCAGAGCAGTCACACACATATCTGTTCCAGCCCTCCCTGCAGAAGGTAAAGGTCAAGTGTCAAGACAAGGGTCATGCCAGAGTAGTTCAGACTACAAACACTGGAATTCCTCAATTCACCCTCCACTAAGGCTTGTCCTAGGCACCGGACTCGAGCTTGGTTAGCGGCAGTTGTTATCCAATGGAGTGCTGCGATTGGTTGGCCAAAATTATGGGGCGGGCTTAGTGAAGGGTCATGTATGGCTCAGTTGGTGGAGCATGGCACTTTCACCGCCAGGGTTGTGGGTTCGATTCCCAGGGCCACCCATACGTACAATATATGCACACATGTAAGTCGCTTTGGATAAAAGCATCTGCTAAATTAAATATATTAATTCAAGGTGCTTTATTGATAACGGGCGGCAGGTAACCTAGCGGTTGGGCCAGTAAGAGAAAGGTTGCCAACAAGGTGAAGAATACACCTATCCGGTGTATGTGACAATATTATTATATATATTTTTTAAATACATTCTGTAAATATGTCTAGAATATGTCTTCTTTCTGTCTAGAACTCAGTTAAAAGTGCAGGAAGTCCTTTAGAAACAGTCAAGCATACATCAAAATAGTTCCATACAGTACAGTAGACGTGACTTGAGTAAGTGGCGGTGCAGTAGTACAGTAGTACCTGCAGGTGGCGCTGTGTTGGCAGGGGTTGGACAGACACTGTTTAGGAGGCTCTCTGGAGCAGGAGGGTTTAACCCCTACAGCCCTCTGAGCCTCAGCCAGACGACGGATGTCCTTACTCTGACCGTCCACAAACAGGTCTCTCACACAGCCCACATAGCCGTAGTTCAACAACGCTGTCCACACCTACAGAGAGAAGGAGAGACACACAGATTACACACACACACACGATACACTCAAGTGAGCGAACACACACACATAGACACACACACACACACACACACCTCAGTAGGGAAGATGAGTCCTTGGCGGTCCTCGGGTAATCCTCCCAGGTACAGAGTATCATCCAGGTCTAGAATCTCACTGTCCCCTGGAGCCGTGTACGCTGTACGCTGTGAGTTCACTGAGATAGTACCTACACACACACAGGTTAGGGTTAAGGGAGGTCAATGATTAGGGTGCACTGACTGTAAGTTGAGAGTCTGGTAAATGACTAAAATGTAAATGTTAATGTAAATGTTAAAAGACCTTCACCCTCTGCCCCTCAACACTTGCCAGGCCGTCATTGTAAATAAATAATTGTTCTTAATTTACTTGCCCGGTGTAATGGCAAAAACCCAAAAAGTTATGATGTCACTTACTACCCAGCTAGCACATAACATTCTGAGAACCAGATGTTTCTTAGAGCTTGGTGAGAGCATGGTTGTCCAATGTTTATTTTGCAGATAACCTTCCCACAACGTTCTGGGAATGGTGCAGGATAGTTGCTTGTTTTTGGAACATTCTCAGCACATTTAACGAACTTGATATTTTTCTTTTTTGGGGTATTTCAAATCAAATCAAATGTTATATGTCACATGCTTCGTAAACAACAGATGTAGACCAACAGTGAAATGCTTACTTACGGGTCCTTTTTCAACAATGCAGAGTTAAAGATAATTTAAATAAAATAATAGAAATAGTGATATGAGGAATAAATACACAGTGAATAACGAATAACAATGATGAGTAAAAATAACATGGCTATATACAGGGGGTACCAGTATCGAGTCGATGTGCAGGGGTACGAGGTAAATGAAGTAGCGATGCACATATAGGTAGGGCTAAAGTGACTAGGCACTTTAATGTTTTCTAAAAGTTCAAACATGGTTACATTTAATTATACATTTTGGACTGGTTTGACATTGGGAATGTTCTCAAATAGTTCAGAGAACGTTAAGAAACAACGTTCTTTTGTGGGTATTTCAGTACTTCAGCATAATGTTTCCCACAGGTTTCCTCATGGTTCTATTTAAAGTCATGTTCTCAAATTGTTCCAAGAACGTTAAGAAACAACGTTCTTCTGTGGGAATTTCAGTACTTCAGCATAACATTTCCTACAGGTTTCCCCAGGTTTCCTACAGGTTTTCTCTATTTGTATGCGTAAAAAAAACACGGCATGCAAGCTCCTTCCTGGTGGCGCAGCGAACTAATTCCATGGATTAAGAACAGAAGATTATTGGTTTGAAACTCACTGATGCTGTGTCACAATAAAAAAGAAATGTGCATGATTAATGCCTAAGGAAATTAATTTCCATGTGTCCTATCTGAGCTTGGAGTTAAAAAAAAGTTAGCCCAAAGCAAGCTAGCTGTGAAAGTTTTAAGGAAGTTATTCAAAAACCTCCAACTAACCTATAATTTCTGTTCTCAGGGAGTTATTAAAACCTCCCAGGAAAACTTTCAAGGAACCAGAGTAAAATGTTATCAGAACCTCCCTGCAACCCAAAAACGAAAGTTCCCAGAATAGGCTAAATGTTCACTTCTGTTCTCAGAACGTTTAAAAAACTTTCAGATTTACCAGTCAGGAACGTATGGATTCGTTCCCAGAACGAATGGGAAACCAAAAACGTACGTTCCCACAACTTCTAAGGAAACAAATTTGCTAGCTGGGTAGTGACCTGGGGATAATTCCAATACGCACAATCGAATAAAAGACAGAAATCCAAGAATACGTTTAGTCCATTTATTTTCCTTCTCTTCTTCTGTCATTGTTCAAAAAGAGTACGATACGGTTGAAAGTTGTCTGTGTTCCCAGGCAGACTAGTTCCCACCCACACAATCGCCTGGCAGCAAAATATAAGCAGTCAGGTGCTAAACAGGTACAGGTACACTCATTCCAAAATCATGGGCATTAATATGGAGTTGGTCCCCCGTTTACTGCTATAACAGCCTCTACTCTTCTGGGAAGGCTTTCCACTAGATGTTGGAACATTGCTGCGGGGCCTGGCTCGCAGTCGGCGTTCCAATTCATTCTAAAGGTGTTCGATGGGGTTGAGGTCAGGGCTCTGTGCAGGCCAGTCAAGTTCTTCCACACCGATCTCGACAAACCATTTCTGTATGGACCTCGCTTTGTGCACGGGGGCATTGTCATGTTGAAACAGGAATGGGCCTTCCCCAAACTGTTGCCACAAAGTTGGAAGCACAGAATCGTCTAGACTGTCATTGTATGCTGTAGCATTAAGATGTCCCTTCACTGGAACTAAGGGGCCTAGCCCGAACCATGAAAAACAGCCCCAGACCATTATTACTCCTCCACCAAACTTTACAGTTGGCACTATGTAATGGGGCAGGTAGTGTTCTCCTGGTAGCCGCAAAACCCAGATTCGTCCGTCGGACTACCAGATGGTGAAGCGTGATTCATCACTCCAGAGAACGCTTTTCCACTGCTCATGAGTCCTATGGCGGCGAGCTTTACACCACTCCAGCCGACGCTTGGCATTGTGCATGGTGATCTTAGGCTTGTGTGCGGCTGCTCGGCAATAGAAGCTCCCGAAGAACAGTTCTTGTGCTGATGTTGCTTCCAGAGGCAGTTTGGAACTAAGTAGTGAGTGTTGCAACCGAGCACAGACAGTTTTTTTTACTCACTGCGCACTACAGCACTCTGCCTTCCCGTTCTGTGAGCTTGTGTGGCCTACCACTTCGCGGCTGGGCCGTTGTTGCTCCTAGATGTTTCCACTTCACAATAACAGCACTTACATTTGACCGGGGCAGCTCTAGCAGGGCAGAGATTTGACGAACTGACTTGTTGGAAAGGTTCCACGTTGAAAGTCACTGAGCTCTTCAGTAAAGCCATTCTACAGCCAATGTTTGTCTACGGAAATTGCATGGCTGAGTGCTCGATTTTATACACCTGTCAGCAACGGGTGTGGCTGAAATAGCCGAATCCACTGATTTGAAGGGGTGTCCAGATACTTTTGTATATATAGTGTAAGTATAGGTAGATATAGGGATAAAATAAATATAACACAAAACATGATAAATGGCTCCTACACCTGGTTAAATAAAGGTTAAATCAAATAAATAAATAAGATACCTGAGCGTCCATCCCTCTGGAAGTCGACGTGGTACCACTCCCCATCGTTGACCTTCCTGTCGATGGCCTTGGTCTTGGTGGTTCCTGAGCCCATGTCCAGCAGCAAGTACAGGTGACCGTCCAGCATCTCGATGGCAAAGAAATCCACCTGCAACAGTAACGGCAACAATAGAAAAAAACAGTACAATATAAATATCAACAACAGTATAAACATCAATATAATATGAACGTGTGTGTGTCATTACCTTTACGGTGCGGTGGGTGCGAGGGTCGGTGTGTGGTTTATGTGTGTGTGTGTACGTGTCCTTACCTTTAGGGTGGGGGGTGTGCGGGGGTCTTTGCGTTGCTGCTGTCGTGGTTTCCCGTGGCTGAAGAGCATCAATCCGTTGGGTTCTGTCGTTCTGAAGTCAAAGGAGATTGACCCCGCCTTCTTGGCGCTCCACTTGCTCAATGCCACAAACGACTCTGGGGTGTCAAAGGTCACAGGATCGAGGGTTGCCACACTCTCACACTTAAACGCCACTATACCGCTCACCTGATGGATGGGAAAGAGCATTTAACACATATTTGACATCAAATAGACACAATAAAATAAAGTGAAACAGTGAGGAATAGAGCTGTGCAGCAATAGACTACTAAAGGGTTAGGATATGTTTTGAGACCAGTGAAGAAACTATGGTGTCTTACCTTCATCTTAGCATCTCCCTGCTTAGCCAGCCGAGACAGCTCCAACCGTACATCATTGTTCTTATACACCACCTAGAGGTCAGGGTTGAAGGGTCAGGGTAAAGGTCAGGGATAAGAGGTTAGGGGAGAGAGCAAGAGTGCAAATCAATAGTCTGTTATCCCCCTCTCCTTGTCTCCTCTCCTTTAGTCACAATGATCAGAGCTAGTTGGACAGGAGAAGCGAAGCCTCAGGTAGCTATGTCATGTTGCTTCCTCCAAACTTGTGTTTCCATACCAGTCTAGCTAAAGGAGAGAAGACAAGGAGAGGAGACGAGGAGAAGAATAACTTATGAGGTGCAGCGCAAGGCTTCAGTTTATTAGGGTTCAATATAGAACCTCTTTCTCTCTCCATCCTTGTCTCCAAGTATGTGAGCAGCATTATTATGGCTGCAATGTCACACACACACAAACATTCTGCTTTCATACGTCAGACCTTTGTCTGTGAACTGTGCAGAACTCAGCAATACGCATCACTGAAATACCCTTTTGTGTGTGTGTGTGAGGGAGAGAAAGAATGTGCTTGTGTGTATATATGTGTGTGTATGTGCATGGGTTTGTGTGTTGGTGTGCATGAAATGTTGTACAGGGCTGATGATCAGTCTTGCGAGTGTGTTCAGTCGTACATCTTAATTATTTCCCATGGATTAGCATATGATCACATTCAATATGTAAATGTATCTCTGACAGCAGCCTGCCTACAACACCATCAGTCCCAATCAACCACACACACACACACACACACGTTATGTTCTTCTATCCTCGTGGGGACCTAAAATTAATTTCCATTCAAAATCCTATTTTCCCTAACCTTAACCCCTAAACCTAACTCCTAACCCTAACCACTAACCCCTTACCCTTACGTTAACCATAATTCTAACCATAACCTTAATACTAACCCTAACCCTAAACCTAACCCCTAAGCTTAAAAAACCTCTCTCCTCATGAGGATGTGTGAAATGTCCCCACAAGGTGAATTTTCCTTGTTTTACTATCCTTGTGGGGAATTGTGGGGATTTTAGGTACCCACAAGGATAGAATAACCCCCCCCCCCCCCCCCCCCCCCCCACATGCTACTATTACTGATATCACTCTGTTGGCACATCATCTGTCAGTTTGTTTGTTTGTGAGTTTTTATGTGTCTGTTTATTTGTGTGTGTGTGTGTGTATGTGCACATGCATTTGTGTGCATATGTCCGTGTGTGTGTGTGTGTGTGTGTGTGTGAGCTGTTGGCCCTTTTTTGGAGCAGAGCGGATGGATAGAGGGTCTCAGTGGCAGAGCTAATTAGCATGTTAGCGCTTAGCGCTGCGTCTGCTCCCTCAGCAACACTCATCGCTGATTCTCTCTGATGCTGCAGCCTGCACATGGGAGGATGGGTGTGTGTGCCTCTGCCAAATGTGTGTGTGTGTGTTTGTGTGTCGCTGTCAAATGTGTGTGTATCTCTCTGTGTCCCTTATTACTGTATAGAGTATGGGATCATGAGTGTGTAGATAAGCCTGTAGGCCTAGCTCTGTATGTGAATGATATTTGCAAATGTAGATCTGTGTATGCATGTGTATGATGTATAGATGTGTACAAGTGTGTTAGTGTGTATGTGTGTACTCCCCACCTCTTTGAGGCAGCCCATGAAGTTGTTGCTAACAGGAGATCCAGGGAGGTCGGCAGTACTGGGACTTCCTCCCACGTAGAAGAAATCATCTGAGCCCAACATGGTGTAGTCTTCCTGGGTGTAGCCCGTAGTGGTCAGAATGCCGTCCACAGAGATTGTCACCTATACAACAAAGCACAGGGAAAGGACACGCTATACTCACACCAAATGCAGCGCTACGCGCTAGCCAGCCGAATTAGTCTGCCCCCTTCTGGCTTGGTAGGGTCTGGGGAGGTGGTCTGGTCTTGGCTGTGGTTGGTTGGTCAGTGGATTGGTTGGTCAGTTGGATTAGATTGGTTGTTCAGTTGTTTGGAACTGGTCTGTGATTTGATTGGTCTAGCTGTGTTTGGTTTGTGTGATTTGATTGGTCTAACTGTGTTTATTCTCTGATTTCATTGGTTTAGCTGTGTTTGGACCTGTTTCCTGTCTGTGTCATGAGGTGGTTTGGGCTCGTTGGAGTATTATGGAACCAACTCCGTTCTCAGGGCAGATCTGTCATGGAGGCAGAACAAATGTCCAAGTCCGTGTCCTTTATACACAAGCTCTAGTCGAGTCACAATTCCCTTGTTAGTGCTAAATGCTGCGGTCCAAAAATCTTTCAAGATAAGTTAATCATTTGAAATGTTTAGCTAATACTTTAGCTACCTAACATTTGCTGTTGTAGCTAGGATGTTGCACTGGATATACATGTAATGCTAGGGAGAGAATTTACCTGACAAAGTCACAAGTCTTTGAGTCCGAGTCCAAGTTCAAGTCAACAATGGCCAAGTCCGAGTCAAGCTCCAAGTCATGGAAATCGTAGAGTCCTAGACTCGATTACTACAACACTGCCCTAAAACCATTTAACCAATTTGTGCTTGAAGTCCTTTGCCCTCGGGGCATCATGGACAAGATTCTATGCATCTAAATTCTGCCCTGGGTGTGACCTTCACCCATACATTTCTTTCCTCGTGGCAATATGAATCTTAACAGTCAGTTCCAATATTTAGCTACACGCTAGCGATCTACGTTCATTATTTTGCCAGGTATGGTATTAGCGTAGCATTGCTAGCCACGTAGTTAATATTAGCTGACTAATAGGTAATTTATACTTCTTGCGTGGAGCATTGCATGGAGGGAATGTGAAACTCCCCATTTCATCCACAGACAATGGTGTGTTGACGAATTGGTGGAGGTGTTTCTTGTAGATTCATTGCCTCACTTCTGTATCTCCACTCTGAAGAGCGCAAAAAGCATACATTCTCTGCTGTTCTGCCTAAATATCACCACGAGCACAAGGCAAGAGAGTAGCTGTTAGGCTTAAGCGATAACCCTTTATACCATATACTGGGGTAATTCGAAATATCGACGATACGATTTTCAATACCATTGGGGGCACCCCCGCCTCCCGGGGGCTGCGGGAGTGTGTGCTACACCACTGCTTATAACTATAAGTTATGTATAACTATAAGAAATCTAAGATGTATCAATTAATTATGTCCAGCTCAGGGCTCCAGCTTTGCATTTGGTTTGCTAACTTGCTAGCTAAGTGGCTAGATGTGAAGATCAAGCTTATTGGTTACAGCAGAGACATTCTAGCCTGAGTACCAGTCTCTTTAGCTAACATTCCACTCCATGCCATTGCCATAGAGACTGGCCTTTCTGCCATTTTCAAATATGAACATTCTATATAGAGGAGTTGAACCTAATTCGATAACCCTCACAGCTATCCTCCAATCACAATGATTATCCAAATATTGGTCACTTTATTTCTCCACAAAACACGTTGGTATCTGGTTGCTAAGCAACCATTTTCTGTTTGTCCAGACAAAACCAGTCTGTCAAAAGTTGCTAGCTCATGTCTAAATTCTCAAACTAAATATATAGGCTACTGCAATTCCAACCACAAAACCTCTTTGCTTTGATTTTAAGCCTCAAAATACAACAACTTGCCTAGCTAACAGCTAAATGTTTGTTTTTGATTTTGTTATAATTGTAATTCTATTTTCGAGGCTCGACATGTTGTCAAGGAAAACATTCATGTTATTTCCAACAACCAATGAGCAACTCCGCCATAAATCCAGCAACATATTGAACGTTGAGATTGCCGAAAGGCCAGTCTCTTTGGCAATGACATGGAGTGGAAAAGAGTGGAATGTTAGCTAAAACGACTGGTACCCAGAATAGAGGCATTCAATACCCTCCTGGATCAAGATCCCTGCTGCACTAATTTTTTTTTTTTTTTTAAGTATAGCGTGTGCTGTTCCGGTAATACCATATACCCCGATATGGTACAGAAACTGTATGACGGTATGAAAATCTGGATACCACCCAACCCTACTAGGTGTATTGAGCTTACTCTGCTCAACGTGAGGCGGAATCTGCCCCAAAGCAATGTCCCCTATTGTGCATTAGGGAATCTAGTCACCCAATAAATGCTATTTTCAATCATTTTCAGGCTCCAGTTAAAGCAGTAATAAGATATGTGTCGAGTTTTAACTTCTTATGGCAACGTTGATGCTAAAGAAAAGCAGCACTCAGTCTTCTTTGTCAGTGAATCCACAACACCTCTTGATCTTTTTGCAAGGACCAATTGTAATCGATCTGCCATGAGAACAACCAAAGGAATAACATTGGTTCTATAAAACGCAAACAAGCTTGTTGTTGATTAGCAACAAAGGCTAACCCACTGGGTAGTTTACAGTAACATGTGTAGCTAGCTCAGGCTATAGGTAGCATTAGCCTCAGTAGCTAACCAGGATTACCCTGGCTATAGGTAGCATTAGCATCAGTATCTAACCAGGATTACAGTGGCTATAGGTAGCATTAGCATCAGTAGCTAACCAGGACTACCCTGACTATATAACACTAGTATCAGTAGCTAACAAGGATTACCCTGACTATATAGCATTAACATCAGTAGCTAACCAGGTAAATCAGGCAAGTGTTAGTAAGGCCTCAACAGAGGCTCAGCAGCCACAATCAGTTAGTGTGTTAGTGAGCGTGTAGCTGTTAGTGTGTTAGCTAGTAGTTAGTAGTCAGTTCCAGGTTAGTAGAATAGTAGTTTGTAGTGTGTTAGTAATGGTATTTAGTAGTGTGATAGTAAATGGTGTTAATGCGGTTAGTAGTGTAGAGTTTAGTGATAAACAAGATGTTAGTAGTGATGATGGTGTTGGGGGTTAAAGTGTGTGAGGGGGTAGGGGTGATGGGTTAGATTGTGTGTGAGTATGTGAGTGTGTGGAGTGGAGAGTTAGTCAGATCAGTAGGTCTGAATGATGTGACACACATACTGACTCACACGGACACGCAAAGTTAGATGGGTTAGTCATTCCACACACATGCAGCCTCCTCTCTCTGCATGCAGTCAACAGCAGGAGGAAGACAGGAACGAGAAAACAAATGACAACAGAAGAGCCTGGGCTCAGCAGCAGGATGGACAGCATGCAGAGGAGGAATGGAGAGAGAGAATAGGATCAAATTTAAAAAGGGGGGAGGGGGGTTGGCCTCTCTCTGTGTCTAATGGACCAATCAGAGAGGCACCATGAAGTTGTACCATGCAGGGGGAGTGGCCAGTCGCGTGCAACTGAGGGATGAGCCAATCAGGACACGCCTACATATCAACCACAGGGAGATGGGGTGAATGTTGGAAAAAGGTAAAAGGAAAGGTAGAAAAAAATAGAGTGGCTAGGAGGAGGGGAGTGATAAGCGTAGAGTACCAACCGCCATCATCCTGTTCTAGTATAGTTTTAGTTGTTCTACGGCTCAGAAAAAGAAAATAGACAAACCCAAACTAAGAAACGATTAGAATGGTATCTACCGAACAATGGAGTTTGTTTACCATAGCGTGTCCAATGCCTGAGTGCTTTGTGGGAGACGGGGAGAAAGGAAAGCAAAAAGTGTGAACAGAACAACTTCCGAAAAAGGAAAAGAAAAGGTAGAAGGCCAGTGAAGGTTAGAGAGGAGTGGAGAAGGCAACAGGTTAGTAGTATGACACATTCCATGGATGGAGGTTAGTTAGTATTACTAGCAGGTTAGTAAGTACAGTTAGTAGTTAGTAGTTGGTACACACACACAGGCAAACAGCAGAAGACTACAGTTAGCAGCACCATAGTATCCCCAGCCCTGACGCTAACACACACACATGCAAGTGTACACACACACACACACACACTCACACACACGCGTACATACTGTACATACATAGTGAGTTTAGCACAGATACGCCCTCGTTCACTCTTTCGCTGTCTCTTTCTCGCTCTCTCTCTCTCACACACACACATACCCTCTTTCTCTCTGCCTGTCTTTCCATCTCACCCTCTTTATCCCTTTCTCTTTCTCCCTTCCCTTCTCTCCCCTCCTTCCCAAATCCCCCTCCCCTGCTGTTGCCAGGTTACCTGTCTCAGGTTGCGCGTGACCTTGACATCGTGCCAGGCGTTATCGTTAAACTTCCCGTTAACCGGCTCCACCAGGGCCTCGAAAGCCCCGGACCCCAGGTTGATGACCAGTGACACGGCTCCGTTCTTTAAGGCCAGGTTGACGTAGTCAGCCGACTTGCCTGTGTGGAGCATCAGGCCGTTCCTCTGCAGGGTCTTAAAGCTCAGGGTGATCTCATCGCTGGAGGACTGGATGGGGCTGGGAGACAGGTCATAGCAGAAATACTCTGATCCCTTAAATGTTGCTAAGTAGTCCTCACGGGCTGGAGGGGAGAGGGAGGGAGGGAGGGAGGGAGGGAGGGAGGGAGGGAGGGAGGGAGGGAGGGAGGGAGGAAAGGATGGGGAAAGAAGTGGGGAGAAAGAGAAATAGAAAACATTCAATGTTTGTTTTTAATATGTAATAATGTTTATAATATGATATCAAGAGCCCCATTTTGAATGTGTGAACATGAGGCATTTCTATATCTAACTCTTTGGTTGCTCATCCAGTAGTCTGGTATGAGTTGACTGGATCATTCATGAGTGGGTTGACATTAAACCATGTGGATCTGTCGTGATACTTCGCTTTCTGATGCATTCAACAGTCATTATGAAATCTGTAATCTTGTTTACAGAGGAATGCTGTGTAGTTTGAAGTGATGTGTTCTTAAGCACCTATCAGCAACCAGCAATGCCAGCCCAGTAGCTCAGACAGCCACAACAGCCAACCACAGCCCAGTAGCTCAGACAGCCAGAACAGCCAACCACAGCCCAGTAGCTCAGACATCCAGAACAGCCAACCACAGCTCAGACAGCCTCAAGCCAATATAGCTACTTACCATGTCCACCTTTACTGACCCTCAAGGACACCAGACTATCTCATTGTATATCACACAAACGCACACACACGCATGCACTCACGCACGCACACACACACACATACACACACACGCATGCAGGCAAACACACATCACACACGCGCACACACACACACACCGGGAAGAGATGAGTGAGGCAACATTATCTATCTTTCTTTCACACCCATCCCCCTCTCCGAGTCATCCTTCCCCGCTTCCTCTATCACTCTCCCTGCTATCTCTCACACCTCCCTCCTCTCCTGTCCTCCTTCCAGCAGTATCTAAGGCAACCTCCTGAGCCTCTGGCATTGGCAGCATCCTCTACACGTCACTACTGACTACAATAGAATGTAATGATCTACAATGTAATACAATACAAGAAAATGTAACGATAAGAATATAATTTAACATTGTAAAAGCAAATGTATTCCAGTATGTGTGCTAGGATGTAAGTGTGAACAGAAATGTATTTGCCAGCGTGTGATCATGCGTGTGACCGTGTTCTGGGTGTAATTACCTCCCTCCCAGAGTGTGTGTGTGTATGTGTGTGTGTGTAAATATTGGTGTATTTGAATCAGGAAAGCTATTACCAACTCAGAGCCTGCGGCGAGTCTTTACCGTGGAGGGAGAGCGAGAGTGAGCAGGAAACACACGTACGCACACACACACACACACACACACACACACACACACACACACACACACACACGACAGGGCTGAGTGTGAGAGAAGACAATTTCTCACAATGAAGAAAACACAGACCTGTCCACCACTATTCTAGATCTAGTTTACTGTCATGCCGTTCAATTTCAGGCAACCATTCTGACATTTTGGCTATTTACAGTCATGTCATTAGATCAGACAGCAGCACATAAAACATCTCTACATCGATCTGTGGGCCAGTTCACTATTCTATCTCACACACACACACACACACACACACACACACACACACACACACACACACACACACACACACACACACACACACACACACACACACACACACACACACACACACACACACACACACACACACACTGCAGCTGATGTAGCGGCTCTTTTCTCTCCTTCTCAGCCTCTCACATACTCATTTGCCATTTCCATGGTAACCCCATGCAATAGGGCTACAGCTGTGTGTGTGTGTGTGTGTGCGCGTGTTTGTGTTTGTGAGAGAGGGTGATTGAGTGAACGGTACATTATCAGGGACAGCTGTACTGAATCAAAATGGCGGATCGAGAAACAGCAGGCTGACAACACTACCCCTGAGAGAGCGAAAGAGAAGAGAGAGAGAGAGAGGAGAGAGAGAGAGAGAGAGAGAGAGCGAGAGAGAAGAGAGAGAGAGAGAGAGAGGAGAGGAGAGAGAGAGAGAGAGGAGAGAGAGAGAGAGAGAGAGAGAGAGAGAGCGAGAGAGAGAGAGAGAGAGAGAGAGAGAGAGACATATGCTGGTGTATCTAAATTCACAGTAGTAGTCCTGTAGTCGTGGAGATAACACACTGCACCTCATTTCAGCTAACCATGCACTTATTCTATCAGCTCCATTCAGCCTCCACACACACATGAATGAGCACACATACTGCATATACACACAAGTCTACACGTCGTACATACACCATGTGTGCATGCTAACACACGCATATGTTGAGACACTCGCCCACACATACAAATGGATGTCCAGCTCTAGAATGTATGCTAATCACAGGAGGCTAGTGATGGGAGGACGGCTCATAATAATGACTGAATGGAATGGTATCAAACACAAGGAAATCATGTGTTTGATGTGTCTATACCAGGTGCCACCAGCTGCCTGTGATGCTAATGTTTGCTAATACATGGAGACTCCAGATATTAATTTTCAGTCTGGTACATACAGCCAAGTTACACCCTAAACCCTTTACACTTGTATCCTATCCCCTTAACACGTGCACCCTAGCACCTAGTTGTCTGACGATTCACCCTGAATTTATTTCCACTGCTCTATTGATCGCTACATACATTCAGTCTGAAACTGCCATCCCAGAAGTCGTTTGTTTGACTTAAAAATGAGGGGCATTGTACAAAACAAATTAATCAGCGTTTGGATGGTCTCTAATAAATCTAACCAATCAGAGGTATCAATGTTGATGACATCATCATGAAGGCCAGCTCTGGCCCAACCCATCGGTTTCTGAGACCAATCAGAATGGTAAGACTGTGTTCACATTCTAGAAATCGTCAGGGAGGGAGACAAATCCAGACTCATCTTGGAGAAGAAACATCACTTAGCCGGAGCGATGTGGATTGGTAGCCAGGCAAATCGCCTCTTTAAAACAATGTATATATTTTTGTCACATACACCGGATAAGTGCAGTGAAATGTGTTGTTTTTGAGGGTCAGCCAATAGTACGTACGGTGGTTCCTGGAGCAAATGAGGGGTTAAATGCCGTGCTCAAGGGGCACATACGACAGATTTTTTTCAACATGGCCCAAGAAGTTTAGCACCCTTTTAAAAGAGAACCGACAGGATATTCACAGGACAGACTGTTCGGAAAACGGGACCCCACGCTCTAAGTCACCTAACCCTGCCCCCCTAAAACTACCCCTAACACACAATACTAACACACTAGCTTCAGCCCCTATTTAAACCACCTTGGTCCTTCACTTAGCCCACGACCCCCCCCCCACAAAACCCCACCCCCCCCCCCCCCCCCCCCCACCCCCCCCCCCCCCCCCCCCCCCCCCCCCCCTCCTCTCTGTTGCCATGACAATCTCTCCAGTTAGATGATGAGCTGGATGAGATCAGTTTTATCCCAAGACACACACACACACACACACACACACACACACACACACACACAAACCCCTTAAAGCAGGTCATTAAGAAATTATGATAAAGTCAGAAACAGCTTCGGAATGGGCATCAATAACATAATGGGCTTATAAATAATGGTCTGGCTACTTCAGCTGGCCTAGTTACAACTGACAAGTGCAATGAATGATGTTGCACCCACATAGGCAACAATGTTGTTGTTTTAAAACATGTTATCCCCTGTGTGAATAAGGTCTATTGGTTAGGCACTTGACCCAAATTGAACCTTTCTAATATTCTAAATTACAATAAAGTTGTGAATTAGTTGGGGGCTATCTATGTCAGCCATGAAACAGAACTTTACCTTTGGCGATTGATTATGCCCAGTAACTAGCCATTTAGCTAGCACAAAGGAAGTAAGTGCAACCATTGGGAAGATGAAGCTGCCATTAGGTAGTAACTATAGCCAGTTGACAGATGAATGTTATAACACAGTATTACTAAATTCCAAGCACATTCCTGGGAAAAGATAGGTACAACTTTTTTATTATCACCTGAAAGCCCTGCTAAACATATCCTGAGAATAAAACATCAGTTACACATTTATTGTTTTATTGTTTCCACCTGCCTCGGTCGAATTCGCTGTCGATGTTTAATTGAAAACAATGACATCCAGCTTCGTCTTGCCGCCATGAGTTGCCTAGTTGGACGCAGCATAAGTACAGTACATGTTTGTGTTTGTGTCTGTGTGTGTTTGGGAGGACAGCCAAATAGGACAGCCAAGCCTGTTCTTCTATGGTGTACAGACTGGTGAAGACTATCTCTGCCCAGATATATACTGTACCTTGTCTGTCCCCTCTCCCTCCCCTACCTTCTCCCCCTTCTTATCAGAAGGGCTGTTCTGTCTCTCTCAGGTACATCAGGGCTCTGCCCATTGATGTTCTTTCTCTCTCTCTGACCTTCCCTCTCTCCCTTATATCCCCATTTCACTATTCTTTCTCTCTCCTCCTCTGAAACCCCTCCCAATACATCCCCCTCTTTCCTTTTCCCTTTCTCCATTGCCCTCTCTCGTCCTCCCCCTCTCTCTGTCGGTCTGGTGTGTGTATTGTCTATGTGGTGGTGAGGGTTAGTAGTGTGCTTGTGTGTGTATGTGTGAGTGAGTGTGTGTGTGTGTAAAATTAGTGCCTTTGATTGCCAACACTTTATGAGTCAAAGGTGATGAGTCACAATCCACCTCCCTCTTAACACATAAAGACTCATGTGCCTGCAGTGCATACCCCCCCCCCCCCCACACACACACACACACACACATGCATGTACGCATGCACACACATACCGTGAAGAGAATGCACAGGCAGCCTTACTCATGCATATTTACACAACACACACACACAGAAAGAAGGCACTCGATAAAGGCTATTTGTGTGTGTGTCTGTGAGCTTGTGTGTGTGTCTCAAAGGTCATGTTTAGAGAGCGCTTGTTGTGTGATGATATGGTTTGGTTTGTCCTCTCTGTAGCACACACACATGCACACACACACCTATACTAGCTAACCACAGCCACACTGTAAAGGGGTTGCCATGAATTTGTGGTAAGTTACTCTATTTCATATTGCAGTACACCTACTGTAATCTAAAAACAGTATCAAAGCAAGTACTGTGTAATGAAACCATAAAATTGACTGTATATACTGTAAAAAGTAAATGTTACTGTAATCGTAATGAATGAATGAATGAATGACGGGATGAATGAGTGAAATCCATTGAGGGGAGATGGGGTTTGTATTTCTGAACAGCTGAAATAAATGAACATTCAAGGCCATTATGAAGGCTACAACCTTCTCTGTCTGTTGTAACAGATATTGCAGTTGCACAAGCAGGACAGTCCCTACACATTGCATTGGAGCAAAAACAATCTGCGTTTTTTGTGATGATGTAGGCTAATCTTTGTAGTTGTTGCCATATCGTAGCCACTAGCCACTACTACTTTGACTGCCTGTCTGCCTCCTGCTTAGCCAATGTTTGCAATGTTTATTCAAGAATAACATTAAATCGCTAATTAGACTGCGTGTCTGTGTCTTACTTGTGTTTGATATGCTGTCTAGATAGCTCAATGTAACTACACACTTGAATTTTACATCATGACACACGAGTAGTCTTCTAAATAAAATCCAACACACTTCATTCCCTTGGGACCGATGAGACAGACACCAGTCACATGCACGAATGCATGCACGCACACACTGATGTCAGAGAGAGTTTGACTGGAGCAGGGCTGACTGACTGGCACTTTGGAGATACAGACCCAAGACATCTAAGGACTTAACATCTCTCTCTCTCTCTTTCCCTCTCGCGCTCTCTCTCTCTCCCTTCCTCTCACTTCTTTTCTCGCTCTTTATCTACCCCCTCCCCTCTCTCACACCCACAGACAATCCCCGCTCCCCCGCTTCTTCAGAGAAACTCATTTTAGATAGTCAGCTTTAGAAAGCCTCTTTACTCTGAGCCGACGGCCACTTCAGCTCCATCTGACT